TGTAAGCAGCTGAAGAAGCTGAAACGGCGGTCAACGCCGACGCCTTCAGCACATCCTCCGGATTAATGCCCACCGTAGCCCGCCTCGCCCGCTTCGTCTCATAGTTCGACACGTAGGTCTTCATGTCGAGGTCACTGCGATCGATTATGAGGTGCCGTACCTGCGCCTTAATCTCCGTCAGCGTCTTCGAGTCGCGCAGGTTGAGGTTCTTGTAGCGGGTTGCAGGGTCCAGGGTGAAGCCTTTCGGTGTAGTGTTCTCCGGACTGGTCTGCGCCAGCAGGCGGTAGACGTACTCTCGGCGGCTGATCACATTGAGCATCGTCTCTAGGTCGGCGGAGGAGGTAAACTCGTCGCGGACGTTGCTGTACCACAGGGAGACGGCCCAGGCGGCGTCCAGGGCGGAGAGGAAGCCGCGGCCGGCGCCGCTGCCCGTCGGCCAGAACTGCAAAATGAAAAAATTAAAGTTAAGCAAAGTTTAACGAAAAATCGAAACTCACCGGCTCCAGAAGCGAATCACCACATAGCAACATTAAGGTATACTTTGTAGCAGAGCTTTTCTTCCCGTGTTCGCCGCCGCTGCAGCAGTTGAGGTGAATGCGCTTCGCACAGGAGGCATTGGTGGCCGAGTACATCGAGGTAAAGTCAAAGAGCGCCACATCGGGCTTGTGCGAAGAGTTGAGGGCAAATTCAAGGCGGCGCAGTTTGCTCGACCACTCTGCGGCGTCCTTGCTGTAGCGCATCAGCAGTGAAATGTCAACTACAAAATAAAGCTCGGTTAAAATTAAACTTCAAAACTTCCAAAACACTTACTATTGCTATTACTGAGCAGCTGATGCGAGTCACCGTAATCGGCCCTCAGAACGCCTCTCCTCAGCAGCGAGCCCTTCGTGGCGGTCATCACAAAGTAGTGGGTCTCATCTCGGTAGTAAACGATATTCTCCAGCTCAATGCCCGTCTCCTCCTGCAGGTCCTTGAACCACTTCTGGTTGTAGATGCGGCTGATGCCGCTGATCTCCGGACAGTGGGCCTCCTCCTCTGTTCTCCTGTTCACATAGTTGGCGGTGAGGCCGATGGCGAGCTTTCCACGGCGATTGTTTCGCGGAAAGTACCGGCTGAAGGTGTTTCGACGGCCGTCGCAGCCGATGATGACGTCGAAGGACTGGCGGCTGAGGTCGCGGGCCACTGCAGGGCTGGAGGGAGAGCTGAAGTGGGCGTAGGCGCCGCCTAAACAGAAAAGAGAGAGAAAGTTAGTAAATCAAAATAGAACTCCTCAAAAAAAGGTAAACAAACCTCCAAAGCCGTGCACATGACAGCAGCAGTTGCAGGAGTCCGCTCCGGAGCAGGTCGTCTCCTTGGGCTCGATGATCCGGGGGCAGATCTCCTCAAAGGCGATATTAGGCACAAAGGTCACCCCGAGGATGACGGCAATCTTCAGCAGCATCAGCTGCAGCTGCCGAATGGAGACGTGGTCGATGCTGCCGACGCAAAATTGCCCGTAGAGGCGCTTGCCCTCAAAGGTGTACAGGTCGTTGATCACATTGGGCCAGAGGTGGATGACGTTGTTGCGCGAAAACTCGTCCCGCTTCTCCACGCAGATCACTGTAAACAAAGGGAAATGTTAGAGGCATAAACACAAAACAAAATAGAACTCTTACCTTTAGCACCGATCAGCAGACACTCAATGGCCGCCCTCAGGCCGGAAATTCCTCCACCGATCACCAGAATCCTCTTCTCGGCCATCTTTCCCCGCAGCGCGTACTCCTTCCCAGCGGCCTTCAGATCGAGCGCCTTGAGAATGGCCGCCACGCGGTTCCATTTCGAAAGTGACTTGACGGTAAAGAGAACTCCTTTTAGGCGAAAGAAGTTCCTTATTCCTCCACTCTCTTCAAAGCGAAGAAGCTTTGCAATCTGCCGCCGGTGCTCGAGCACCTCGGCGACGCTGGTCGCGGAGATGAGGCCATCTAAGTTTTGGATCACGCTTTCGATTACATTGCGCGGAACGTAGAACTGGTTGCCTGTTGCTGAATTCTGCGGCTGTTGTTGTTGATGGTTTGGCGCTGATGAGGCGGCTGTGGTGGACATCTTTTTGCTTCTGCTTCTGCCGGAGACTGTGATGGAACAATGAGGAACGATGAAATTGGTGCTGGTGATGGCGCGGCAACTGAGGATTAGGACGGAGCCAGACGTCTCCCCGGGCTTCCCGGTAGTCCTTGGAGACCGACGGGTTTCCGGAGATTAGTGCTAATGGCGGCGATGGAATTGTTGGTGGTGATTGTTTGGCGTGGTCGCAGTGGATCGTAGTTGCAGTCGTTTGCGGCAGCAAAAAAGCAAGCAATATTTGCGCTTTGCGCTCTGGTTGGCGTCCTCTTCTTTGCTGGTGCATGAGAAAGAGAAGCTCGTCGTTGCGAGTGTCGTCGTCGTAAGCTGTTGTGTCGTCTCCACTGGTGCCGACGACAGGCCATATGAATATTGATGCAACACAGAAGATGAAACACTGAAGAGAAAAAGAGAAACGGAGAAGAACAGAAGCGTCTTCAGTCGTAGAAATCACATCTTAGGAGACGCTTCTGAAGAAGAAGAGGAGGAAGAAGAATAATTAGCCATGGAAGAATGCCAACGCTCTAGATTTGAACGGCGTTCTGCTCTTGTTGCGCTTCTTGTTGTTTCTTTCCGAGGAAATCAGCGAGGCAGCCCGTTGCGCGCGTTTGCTCGCGGGGCGCCAGTCACCGCAAGAAAGCAAAAAACCGATGAGCAAAGATGCTCGGCGGCGGCGGCAATTTGTTGTCGTCTTTGTCGATCTTCGGCGTCTTCAGCCCTCTCTTTCTTTTCACTTGGCCGCCTCTTCTAAGATGATGGTGATGGTGGTAGTCGCTTCCAGTGATGCCTCCTCGACGTCGTCCTCATCCTCTCCTGCTCTCTCTCCTTCTCATCTGACTTCGTCTGTCCGTATCTTTCCTTCTCCCTCACCACAGTCAGTGTGTTTGTTATGTTTCTTTCGCCTTCCACTAATCTTACCCACACACACACCTGAAACTCTCACTCGCCTACGCCAACGATGTGGAAATAGTAATTGCTGGAGCTGGAGAAGTTGGAGTTGCCTGGCGGCAAATGTCTTGAAGAAGTTTGGAGAAGATAAAAAATCCTGATGGCCTGATCACCACCAGGTCACCCTCATTAACGGATGAACAGCTAATGTTTCATATTTTTTGTTGTTGGCGGTAGTAATCAACCGAGTTCAATCGCCAGGCATGTGATCGCTTGCTGCTAATTAGAACCAGCTCATCCAACCCTTTAAATAGAGGGAACATGACCGTCTGATGATCATTACCATTACCATTACCAGACACCAGACAGAGCGGATCGGTGTGAACAAGAAGAACCGACAATCCATTAGCTGTGGCAGCAGCAGCAACAGTAGTCCTCGACCAGCAGTGTGATCAATTAGTGCGGGCGTCAGATGTCGAACAAGCTGCTGCTGCTAAATGAAAGACCGGTTTCGAAGAAGAAGAAGAAGAAGAAGAGGACAGCGACTACGGCGACGACCCACGACCTCCTCCACAATGCAGAGAATTCAGATGTCATCGACCAGCATCAGCAGTAGGTGCAGCAGGTCGCAGCAGGCTCTCCCACCGCCGTCAATTCCCAGCGACGGTTGGTAGTGGCCAAACACTTTAATGAATCAGATGGAGAGGAGAAAGAAAGGAAAGGAAAGAGATACAAAGCAGCAAATAGAACTGCAGAGACATCGGTCATCAGTGGTGGTCACACCAGCCCGGTCACCGGTCTTTTGCCTGGCCACGAAGAAGAAGACAATGCAAAAGATGAGAATGAGAAATAGACAGCGGAGAATGAGACATTGTTTGCTGCTGCTGCCTAAAATGCTCGATAGCATCGTCCAGCAATGACCGATACAGAATGAATGAGAATGAAAATGAATGCTCGTCAACTTCTCTCGAGAGATGTCAATTTAGAGGTTTTATAAATAATAAGAAGGAGAATAATAAAAGAGAGAGTGTGCAAAGAGAGAAACCAAAGAGGAGAAAAGTGAGACGATCAGGCAAAAATTAAGAGAAGAATTTGAAGAACAGACAGTCTAAGAGAAAGAGAATCAAGTACAAGATTTACAGAGAGAGAGAGGACGAAGAAAAGAAGAGAGAGGAAGGAGGAAAAAGAGGATGAAAAATGAGACATGGAATAGAAGGAGGAGGTGTGTGTGAGTAGGTGTGTCAGTGTTCCTGTGTGTTTTGAACTCCCGAGATGGATCCCAAAAAGATCATCAGAAGATGAAGGCGATGCGATGATGAAATAGAGGACCGCAGATTCACAGCTTTCAGGAAACATCAGAGTCTACAAAAGAACCTCCAAAGAGTCCTTCACAAAAGCTGTGATCAGGTGGTCATTTCCCATTTTCCATCATCTCCATCATCATCGATCAGTTCACGATCCCCTGTTTTAGCAGTTTATGAGTTTAGTGAGAATGAGAGAGAATTTAGTGTCCATAATAAAGTAATGATAATAATTTGGGGGCCTGGTGATGGCAAGAGGAGGAGGAGGAGGTTGTCAAGCTGAAGTTGTTTGGATTTATATGATAGGAGAGCGAGGAGATACAAATTACAAATCACGAATGAATTGAAAAGGAGGAGGATGTAGAAAAGAACGAGCGATACAAGAGAGTTTAGCCGAAATAATAATGTGTGGTGGAGGAGGAGGTTGGTGATTGAGATGGGTGTTCTACGGAGTAGCTTAAAATGGGAGTTCGAATGTGTCTGTGTTGTGGTGTTTGGGTGAGACAGAATCAATGACGCACGAAAGAGAAAGAGAATAAAGAGAAGAGAAGAGGAGAGAGAATCGAAAGCAGCAGCCTTTTGACACACACAAATGCTGGTGGTGGTGGTGGTGTTCATGAAGAAAGGTTTTCGTCGCTGGAGTTGTTCGTGGTGGTGGTGGTGAAGGTGTGTGCGCTCCAGTGTCATCATTATGTTATGTTATCATCATCCAATTTACGCATCCTCATCTTCCTCATCCTCCTCCTCTGCGCCCTCGCCGTCATCATCGTCGTCCTCGGCGTAGTCCTCGGGCACTACGTCGTCCTCCTCATCGTCCTCCTCATCATCGACGTCGCCTGAACAAGGGAAGGGAAAGAAATTCAATTCATTAGAACCAGTTGCGTAAAAAAAGTTTGACTCAAAAGAGCTTGGTAAAGTGAAACAACTCTGCTACAGCACACTTTGATGTCGCACTTTAGATTAAACATTACATTACACATCGCACTCTAAAACGCTATTATTAATATGTGCCCCCTCTGTCTCTGCTGCTGTCTTGCACAAACAAACCGATCCTTTCCCCTCTCTCTCTCTGAGCATTTACTTTTCATTTACTGAAGGCATCCCTCAGCGTGTGCAAGGACCACTGCCACCAGCGAAACTCTCACATCGCAGAGAGGAAATTGCGCGCGCTTCAGACCAAGAAGTGCCTTGGCCACCTCCGCCGCCACATGTTGGAAAAGGAGCGAAAGACAAAGCCTGCAAGAACGGCAGCCGGCAGACCAGATACAAAGCTGCTGCTGCTGGTGATGCTGAAGCTGCCGCCGCCGGCCACTACCCTGGCCGACCACACCATCATCCCCAACGAGCATAGAAAAGCACAGCAGCAGCAGTGTCTCTGGCCATCGTCGCCGTCATAGCCATCGCTTCGAAGTGTGTGCATATGCCACAAGCAGCAGCAGCATTCGCTCGCCGTGTGCTCGCACTCTGTTGACGACACAAAGCCAGGCCAGGCCAGGAGACGCGGGACAGGAGAGGACAGGACAGCCGCCGCGACGGCTACGGCCAAGCCAAGCTGAGGGAAAGATAGATGATGGGGATGCAGGGGCAAAAGAAAGCGGCAGAGCAGCAGCTACTCTCGCGCGCGAATCGCCACCGCCATCGCAGCCATTTTCCAGCAGCAGCAGCAGCAGCAGCAGTGTACATGTGCTGCTGGAAAGGGATCCTCTCTACTTCTACGCTTCCAAAGCGCTTTGCCAGCCTCCTGCACTCCTCAACTACTGCTACTCTCTCCTCTCCATTCTCGCCGCTGCCATCGCCATCGAACTACGACGGCGGCGGCGGCGGCGACGAGGTAATCGGCATGCGTACATGACCGCCGCTCGAGAAGAGGGAGAAGAGGGAGAATGGAAGCGCTTGTGGCGGGGAGATTGGAAGTGGTGCTGCTGCTGCTGCTGCTGCTAAAGCGCCACTACAAGGCAAAGTAGCGGTGGAGTGCACACAATGGAAAGAGCGACGGTAGTGGTAGGCAGGCGCAATCCGAGCGAACAACGAGTGTGCCGGCAACTCGGCGACGACAGCAGCGGCGGCGGCAACGACAGCGGCCAGGCCTGGCCACCGTCTCTCAAACTCTCGCCAAGCTAATGCGCGCGCGGACTCTAGCGAGGCCTAGGGCTGCCCGCCAATATTGACAACCACTGGCACACACCGGCGGCGACGGGGCACCGGCGGAAGGGTCAGGGCTGGAGGAGGAGGAGGAGGTGGCGGACATTGCAATGGCGGTGCGGTTCTATTTGGATCGAAACGCGCAAGAGAGCGAGGCGCAGCGACAGAATCCGCGCTTAAAGCGACAAAATAGAACTGTCTGCCTGTCACACTAGCCAGCTAGGAACCTAAGCAACTAATCAAAGTAGAAGTGTAGAAGTAGAAGTAGAAGTGAACACTTACCGGCATCATTTGCGTCGTTGGACTCTTCGGCGTCTTCGGCGCCGTTTTCGTGTTTCGCCTTCTTGTGGTTGTTCTCGTCATTTACCGAGTCCAGGACGGAGTTGGAGTCCTCAGAGAACTGAGAGAGGGAGAAATAGAAACGGAGGGAGAGAGAAAAAGAGAGAGAGAGAGAATGTCGTGGTCAGTATGGAACCGGCGAAGAGGAACAAAGAACCTGGTGTGTTCATGACATCAGTCACACACGCGGATCTATTGCAATCACACTGGTGGTGATGACGGTGGTGGTGCTGATGGCAGTCATCGTGATCGACGTCAATCCTCGGTGATGGTGTCACCACCACCGACCATCAACACAACTTAGAACCGAGCACGTTTCGATCTCATCATCAGCGGCGGCGTCGAGACGTACCTCGTTCTCCTTTCGTTTGAGCGACTCATTCTTCGGGTCCTTGGTGGCGATCTCGTCGGTGGAGTTGTTGTTGGTGTTGACAACGTCGGATTCGGACATTTTGGGAGGTGGAAGGTGGTGGTGGTGGTGGTGGTTGGGATGAGAATGAAAAGGTATGAGTTGTTATTTGCGAGCGAAGCTTCTGGGTTGAAGTTTGCGTCGACAAAGAGGATTGCTGCTGCTGCTGCTGTCTGACTGACTGGGCTGGCTGGCTGGTTGCACTGACTGGCTGGCTGGTGACTGGCGAGGAGACCAAGAAGCGAATGATCGGCGGTGGCCGAAGAACACGATGATCAGGCAGGCAAGAATGAGAGAGAGAAAGAAAGAGAAAGAGAAAGAAGTGCAAAAGTAAAAGAGAAAGAGCCTCTGTCGCTGCTGCTGCTCTGGCGGCGGCGGTGTGCTCTGCTGCGCGCCAAGCGAACAAAGAGTGGTGGGGGCTGCTCCTAGAGGGCGGAGCACTTTGGATCCAAAAAGCGGGAGGTAGAACGAATGTCCTCGTCACTGTAGGAGCGGCCGCCGACATGCGTCCTGAGCAGAGATGAGGCAGGCGGCGAGCACCTGAGAACGAGGGAGAGTGCTGCCGCTGGTAAATGCACTCTCTCAGGCCAGGGAGGACCTCCTCCTATGTTCTTTCTACTCTGCTCTGCTCTGCTCTTGGCGGTTGGATCCTCAACGACAGATCCTCTTCTCCACAGCGTCAGCCTTTACTGCTGCTGCTCATGGCTTCTTCACCACCGCCGAAGCCCTTCTCCTCCTCATCTCCTCGCCATTGCCTCCCCCTCCCGAGAGTGTTCTTTCTCTTTCTCCTTCTTTTCATCCCCTCCCCAGCAGCAGTAGAAGCAGCCCGCCATCATCGCCGCCGTCGCCGCCGCTGCTGTTAGATCCGCCGTCCGCAGATGTCGTGAGACGGTGGTGAATGTGAATGTGAATGAGTGAGTGAATGTGATTGGGATAGGGATTGGATATTGCAGTGGCCTGCAATGGAGTGCTGTTCTATTGCAGCTGCCTCTGCTGCAGCAGCACCGACGGTGCAAGTTCGTTGGTCTGAAGCTAAAACGACGGTGCACTCATGCCTGCAGCATGATATCACCCACCTCGTGGTGGAAGTAGTGGCAGCAAATTGGTCCTTGCTTTCTTCTTCTCAATGTTCTCAATGATGGTGGCTCGATGCGGTGACGGCATTTGATTTCCACCACGCCGCTGCCGCAACACTATTTCATCGCCGGACGCTCACTCAAGTTCCGGTGCGAGAAGCGTGTGCACAGAGTGCCCGAACAGAGTCTGTCAGTGTGGCAACAGGCTCACCGGACAGTCGGACAGGCCGCACTATTTGAGTAGTAGGTTTTTAGAGTACCACTGAAGCAGTGGTGCTCCAATTGCCAGAGCAATTGCGGCTACCCTTCCTCCCTCCTCAGCTCCTTTTCGAAACGGGCGCCATCGACGGCGACGGCCTCAGACAGGCAGTCAGCCACTTCGGCGCCTTTCCCTTTTGTCTGGTCCGTTCGCTCTCGAGGCCATCGGCCATGGCGCCCGAGCCATCTTCAACGAGTGTAAAGAGCCTTCTTTCCAATATATAGCTCGATTTGCTGACCATGCGTGTTCTCTCCTCTTCTCTGTCTTCCTCTCTTTTGCTGTCCATTTGCATTCTCACCCTCGAATCGAGAGTAAGAGAGTGAGAGAATTTGCTGCTGGCGCCGGAGATTCAAAGTCGGCTAGTGGGGAGAACTAATGTGATGGCTGCATAGGATTCAAGTTTTGGCGCCCTTTGCCGAGGAGATGACTAGCAGAGAGCTGAGCTTGGCAGAGACTTTGCAGACAGACAGACACTGCTGCTGCTGCTGATTGTGTGCCACAGTTAGACGATGGTGCTTCGATCATGTCGTTTGGAGCTGGACGCGGCAGCAGCTGCTGCTTCTCCTGCAGCTTCGAGGTTGCTCTTGATGGCTCCCTCTTTTTCTGGTTGACGACAGTCTTTTGGTTGGCTGTTGGTTGGTTTGGTTGCTGGTGGCTCGTCTAATCGGCCGTGATAAGTATGTTGTCTACTGCCACCGCCAAATGACTCCCAATGGCCAAAGCGATGGCGAAGCTGCTGCTTGGGAAGAAGCTGCTGAGACATCAAAGCTGAAGAGGAGGCGAGGCGAGGCTAGCTCGACCTCTATTGTCCTTTGCAGATCACTTCGAGACAGTGTTTAGTGCTGACAATGCACTGAACTGAGTTTTGAGTGGTCAGAAGTGGTCAGACTGAAGCTAGGTCCAAAGTGGAATGATTGACAGGCAGTGGATGACAGAGTGGTAGTCAACTCTTAAAAGGATAGCAGGAAGAGGACTTTGAATCTTTGTGGCTTATTTTCTCATCGAATCTCCAATCCTAGTTCCTTCTTGAGAATCCCAATTCTCGAAAGATCATGTCAGTGCTTGTAGAATGTACTTCTTCTTCTTTTTGGCCACCGTTCACTTTTGCTCTGTTTCTCTTTAACCGGCATGTCAGTTTGGAAGCAATGGAAGAGGCACCTCAGACTTCAGACCACGCCGCAATCACACAAAGACAGACTGACTGACTGAAGATGAGGTAAAGGTAAGGCAGGAGATATTTGAGATGGCCGCAGTGCAGCCGGCCTCCCCGGGATGGCGCCACTCATCGATCGGCGAGACCGGCGCGGCAAACCTCAAATGCGAAGCTTATTCAATGATGATTCTAGAACCGGGTTTAGGCGCTGACCAGGGCTTGTCATGGTCAGAAAGTTAAATTAAACAGTTATGCTATCATTAAGATGGCAATATTCTATGGTTTAGAGCTCTAAAAAGGCTTTTCAAGGCAGGAATCAGCTTTCAAAAGTTCTCCAAACGATGCATTGTTTACGCTGTTTTTAGTAAAAAAGTGTGTGTTGGTAATTGTTCCGAAGTGACGCCTACAAGTTTGCCACTAAAAGAGACCGAAACTTGTGCACCCATTATCTAGGAACAGTGCCCTGTATGCAGAATTTCTTAATTAGTACTCGTTATTTTACTAGGCTAATTCTCGTTTCGGCGGACAAAAAGAGCTGTACCAACAGCAGCCTCGCCTATTTCGCACGGCGAAAGAAGCGTGGAGAAAATCCAAAAGTTTTTAATTGTTTTTAGCTTTTGCTTGACAATTAGTTTCGTTTGGGATTCAAATGTTTAGTTTGCAATCAAATTGTTGATCCAAAGCTGATAAAACAGGTGAAAAACTGTAAAAACTTGTTACTTTTTAAATTGGCGGGAAAGTTCAAATGATTCAGAGAAAGCAGGAACTAGCCCACCGAAACTGATGATCTGAGCTGAAAGACTAAAAGTTTCAGCTTCTAAAGAGTAATACAACTTAAAAATTGATCATTTTGATCAGTTCTACTTGATCAGGCGGTCCAAGTGAACTAGAAAGCTCAAAGTGTGGCAAAATCCTTCACGGTTGACTTCCCTGCTTGAGGACAGCAATGCTTACCCTTCGCAAATGAACTGGATTTTGGGTACTTTTAGGTTTTCTCCCAGGGTACTTGATAACTTTATCTTAATTTTATCATTGCTAAATTGCTCTTTGGAATCTCCTGAAAACTTTTGTATATGATAAGTAGTGTAAAACTTTTGAATTCTGGCAGAAAAACCGCCTCAAACACCAGTTTTCGAAAACTACCCCTTACCGCCAGTCCTGGGCGCATCCGGCCAACTTCGTAGTATATAAGCAAAGCGAGTGCGCCTACTGTTTGTCCCGCGTCGGCGGGACATATACTAAAATTGGAACGATACAGAGAAGATTAGCATGGCCCCTGCGCAAGGATGACACGCAAAATCGTGAAGCGTTCCAAATTTTTTTGCATTCAATTCTCTTTCATCAACTCAACTGCTCTCAAACCAAAGCCAAGCGAAAGTGCCCACTTGCCTCGGTTGAGGGCTCTAATCATTACCATAACTGTGAACGTTGAGGGAACTGTTTTGGTTCACGTGAAGATAAATCAACACTGAGAAGACTGGTGTTGAAGACTGCTGCTAAACCTGTACTTATTACCGATTACGATTACCGCTTCACTGATTACCGCTATGTTGATTAATTTAAAATGACACACACAGGTGGTGATGATAATGATGGTGATGATCTCCTTTTTCTGGCATAGTTCATTAGCTAGTGAGTATCACACATCTGATCTGATATGAAATCGGTAAATAGTAATTTGAATCAATTGCGGAGTGTGTGCTCTATGATCGGTAATGATCACCAGACACAGTTGATCTCTATGATTGATCAGCTACCGGTTATTGGTTGTCTCTTTCTTCCAATGAGAAGTCGGTCAACTGTTGATAAAAGAGAAAACTCTTCCGCACAGTATATAAGCTCACCCAGATCCGAACTTCTTGTTTGTTTGATTTGATTCACCTTCTTCCTCAATATCGAAACTACCTGGATCAACAACAGCAACCTCATCTTCGGGTCATCATGTTCCTCCGCCAGTGTTCCTCCTACCTGAGGCACCTGCTGCTGCGAGTCCTCTTCCTGGTGATCGTCCTCCTCAACACCGCCTTCGCCATTGGAGATAAGAAGTTCCTGAAGGGCTTCATCCTGGGCCTGCTGTTTGCCGCCCAGAAGAAAGATGGCGGTGGTGGGGGCGGCGGGGGCGGCACCACCCATCACGTCATGATGCCGTACGTGCCCCAGCCTTCAGCCTGTCTGGGCTACTGTGGTGGATCTTACTAGATAACTTCTTTTTTATAAACAAACTTTTTTTTCTAAAAACTTCCACTCATATTTTCCCACTACTTTTCATTTTTGATACCAGGTACCACGGATACCGGCGATGATGATGGTGGTGGTGGTGAAATGAGATGAGTGTCCTCCTCCCTTCCTCTTCTTCCTCTGCCTCAAGTGCCTCCTTTTTTCCTGAAAAAACTCCTTTTCCTGAACTTCCAAACTCTTCCAAACACCTTCCAAACATATCCTCCTTCCTCCCAATCATCCTCACCCTCACACACACCTCAAAGTGCCTCACTGCCTCGTTGCCACAACCTCCGTAGAAAAGATTACCATTATTTTTAAATTCAAGTTTTTAATTTTTTTACAATTGTACTTTTTAAGTCTCTTTATTGTAAATGATGATTGTGCTTCAGCAGCAGAAAGTTAAGTAGTGGCTGTATGCTGTAATGTCACATACAATGTAATGTTTTTGTTTGTTAGCAATTCCAAAGCAATAATAAACGCACCAATGTTCAATCAAAAGAGAAGGGTCGAGATTTGATCTCTTTTTCACAGGTAGAAAGATGAGGACTAGTGTGTTTAACTACTGGAAGAAGGGGAGAATACATCATCAAAGTTAAGTTGAGTCTGACTGAGAATTGAATACTTGATGACATAGAAGTTGAGTTGGTGGTGATGACTGTCATACTGAGATCGAAGACTTCGAAATAATTTCAAAGTTTGCTGTTTTTTCAGAAAGGCACCTCCTGGAACAGTGTGCCGATGCTTTCACAGTTGTGGCTCCTTCGAATTGCTTCGGCGGTAAAGTGAGAAATCTAAATCAGAGAAAGAGAAAGAAAAAGTTGTCAAAGGTTACTAAAGTGTTCATACAAAAGTTGATAAAGTGCAAAAAAGAGTGATCTCCTGATGCAACAAAAAAGGGAGATGATAAGCTAAACTGAACACTAGGAAACTGAATCTCACTTCATTGTGTTTGCATAAACTAACTTATCAAAACTAAAATGTCGTCATAGTTTCACGGGCAGCAGCAGAAGCTCGCTGATTAGATTAGAACACAGCAGAACAGGTGATCTCGAGATAAGAAAAGGACATTTGGGGCACTCTTGATCAAAGAGAGATCAACACACAAAATTTTGAATTTTGAATCTCATGTCAGTGACTCTTTTCAGGTTGTGAACTTTTTGCCATCTTTCAAAGTGAGAGAGACTGGCAAAAGTGGAGGAGGCATTTGTTTATTGGACAGACACATCACCACATCACATCACCACACACACACAGATAGAGAGGGACCTAGAGTGGTCAGAGTGGAGAGTGTGTGAGGCAAATAATTGGCAAATCATCACCACCACCAATGGACACATCTTTCAATAGAAAGAGGGGAGTTTGCTTTGGATTTGGTGGATAGTTTGGTGGCTGGGATTGGGATCGGAGGTATCTTTTCACAGTTGGAAAGAGAGTGAGTGCAAAAAATTGTTCAAGAGAAAGAGAGAGAAGTGGAATCAAGAAGAAAGAAATCATAAAGAAGAAGAAAAAGAAGTGGAGGAGGAGGTATTTCTAAACAGAAGAAGCGAGGGAAGGAGCAGCAGTAAAAGGAGAGAGAGGGATGGAAAAAGCATTCCCATTTCCTCTACATTGGAACGTGCGAAAAGAGGTAGGAGACACTTTCGCCGTTGTGGGTACGTCGAATCGCCTCGGCCAGGATCATACTTACGTCAATGCACTGCGGAGATGGGAAAGAAAAATCAGTTAGAATATACAAAAATTGTATCACCTAATTCAAAACCTCTTACCTGAATCTTAGGACAGTCCTTCATGTTCTGCTCCTGCGGAATGGTGTTCGTCACCACCAGCGCCTCCAGGCAGGCGTTTTCAATGCGCTGGCAGGCGGGCCCGCTGAAGATGCCGTGCGTGAGGATGGAGTAGACCTTCGAGGCACCGGCCTCCTTCAGCTTCTCCGCGGCGTGGCAGATCGTCCCGCAGGTGTCGGCCATGTCGTCCACCAGAATGGCAATGCGATTGTGGACGTCGCCGACGAGGACCATCGAGGCGACCTCGTTGGCCCGCTTGCGTTCCTTGTGAATAAGGGCAAAGTCGACATTGAGGCGGTCGGCGATGGAGGTGACGCGCTTGGCGCCGCCGGCGTCGGGTGAGACTAAATAGAACATTTGGTTAGTTTTAGAACTTAGAAAAGAAAGAGTCTAGGATTACCGATGACGCAAGTCTTCCACTCGGGGATGTTCTCCTTGATCCACTTGAGGACGGCCGGCTCCGCGTACAGATTGTCCACGGGAATGTCGAAGAAGCCCTGGATCTGCGAGGCGTGCAGGTCCATCGTGATGATGTGGTCGGCCCCGGCCACGGAGAGCATGTTCGCCACCAGCTTGGCGCTGATCGGGGCTCGGGACTGCAAAAGGTTTTAGGGTTTTAGAAACAGGAATTTCGAAATCTAAAAGCCAAGAAAACATACCTTGTCCTTCTTGTCCTGACGGGCGTAGGGAAAGCAGGGAATGACGGCGGTGACCCGAGAGGCGGAGGCAATCTTGCAGGCGTTGATCATAATGAGCAGCTCCATCAGGTTATCGTTCACCTCGCCGCAGCCCGACTGGATGATGTAGACATCCTCGCCGCGGACTGATTCGCCGATTTCGACGCTGAAGAAGTAGAAAGTAGAAAGTGGTTAGAAAAAGGGTGAAAGAAACTCCAATAAAACGACTTACCAGGTCTCCTGGTTGCTGAACTTCTTCAGGACGGCTCTGCCAAGCTCGATTCCTGTAAAAAGTAAGAGAATGTAAACAAATGGGCGAGAAATAGAACAGCTGTTTGGCACTTACCAAGACGCTCGACGGTCTTCTTCGCCAGATCCGGATGCGACGATCCGCTGAACACCTTAATGTTGGGCATTCTCACTTGAAGGGGGAGATGAACTTCTTCGGAAAGCTCACGGACAAAGTTGGACACGGCTGTGGTGGTGCTCCCCAGTGACTTGGGTGCAAGCTTCCTCGCCTTGGAAGTAATTTTGACCAGTTAAAAGGAGCTGCTGGCAAAGTAACCCGAGCTGGTTCTTTCTGTGGAGGTGAGCGGTGCACTGGCAGATGGTTCGGTCACGATGACATCTCTTAAGGCTCTTTCAAGATCGGAGATTTCCTCGTCGTGGTCGGATCAGGCCAACAGATTGATAACACTCACAGGTCCGTGGGGTAGTACATTGGTCGATGTCACTGAAAGAGAGGCACTGACTGACTGCAAGCCAAAAAATGGCGCAGATAGGAGAGCACGGCGAGGTGATATGAGAAGACTCTGGGGAGAGCAGGACAATCTCGCTTTCAGTGGTGCAACTCTTCAGGCAAGAGTACTGTGGATGATGGCACCAGGACGAAGGCAAATCACTGAAGAAAGCTCTGAAGACGAAACAGCTTGTGCACTTGCGCGCACATGTGCTACTACTCAACAGCAGCACCGATGATCACCGATCACCATCTGGAGGTGGACGGCTGAAGCACTGAAGATCACCACCACCAAAAGCTCTTCAGAGGACAGGTTTGCCGGCTTGAAGGGTAGGGGACACTTTTGGGGGGACCTCCTGGGGCCCAAGAGAAAGAGAGGGAGGGAGAATTTCGAAATTCTGAAGGACACAAAAGAAAAGTGACACTGTTTTTGTTTCTGCAGCTGTGGAAAATTCCAGCCTCGGCGACGACGACGACGCGTTCAAGCACTTCGTGACACATCATCATCACTAGCAAGCAGCAAACACTAATCGTCATTTCCTTCCTCTTATCTTCGGCTGATGAGTTGGCCAGTGATTTTGGTGATGGTGGCAAAGAAAACGATGATGAGTTGTCCCTTACCACTACAGAAAATAGTCCTTCTTACCTACCCCTTTTCTTTTTTACAACTTTTTTTTATTCAATCAAAAATCATTTTAGTATATCATTTTACAGTGGTAAGAGAATATAAAGACATTGCTCTGAGAATGGGTAAAACGAGAGAGAGAGAGAGAGAGAAGAGATGGGAAGAGCTAGAAAACTAGTTCAACAGAATTGGTGGTAATTTGGAAGAATTGGCTCTCTTTGTGATCACTTCTTTACCTCACCTTACCTTACCTTATGAGAGGAAGGTGCTCATGCCGCCCAGCTCGCTCTGCTCCTTCACGAAGATCTCAAAGTACTGGTAGATGATGGTGACGGCGAGGAGGATGCCGGTGCCGCTGCCAATCGCTCCCAGGAAGTCGGCGAGGACCGAGAGGGCGCCAATGCAGAGGCCACCAAAGGCGGCCGCCGTGGGGATGTAGCGGTTGAGCTCGTGGATCATCGACTTCTCGCGGTGGCCGCGCATCACCATCTGCTGCTCCTTCAGCTGCTTGGCGACGTCCTTGGCGCTCGAGCCCGAAACCTCGATCCAGGTCTTGCTGAAGAAGGCGCAGCTACCGAGCATGAAGATGATGTAGAGCACGGCGTGGATCGGGTCCTGCACCAGGTGACCGAGCGTCTCCGGCGGCGAGAGGTAGTAGCAGAGGCCGCCGACGGGGTAAGCGCGGGCGGCGCCCGCCGAGTCGGACCAGACGCCCAGGAGGTTCACCAGGAAGTTGCCGCTAAACTTGACCGCCATCATCTGCGAGATGACGTAGAGGTTGGAGACGAGGGCCGACTGGAGGATGATAGGAATGTTGCTGGTGTAGAAGAGCTTGATCGGGTAGGAGCTGTACTGGCCGCGGTAGCGCGCCGACTTGATCGGCAGATCGACGCGAAAGCCCTGGAAGTAGATGACGATGGCGAAGACGAGAATGGTCGCGAGGAGGTTCATCAGGTTGGGCAGGTTGCCGCGGTAGAAGGCCTCGCGCAGGCCGCGGATCTTGTCCTGGCGGGTGGCCAGCAGGTGGAAGAGGGCGATGACGGCGCCCTCAAACTCCGTTCCGCGACCGGTGTTGACGGTGGCCGGGCTGAAGGCCTTCCACACTATAGTCTCGCAGATGTTCGTGGCGATGAAGAGGGAGATGCCGGAGCCGAGGCCGTAGCCCTTCTGCAGCAGCTCGTCGAGGAGGAGGACGATGAGGCCGGCGACGAACAGTTGGATGATGATCAGCAGGCAGATGCCGGCGCCAATGTCGCTCGGGTCGCCGTACATGCCGGTCATGACGTAGACAATTGCCTGGCCGATGGTGATCACCATGCCGAAGAGCTTCTGCGCGCCGTTAAAGAGCGCCCGGTCCTTGGGCGTGTCGCCAACTTCGATGATCTTTGCTCCCGCCAGCAGCTGCATAATCAGACCGGAGGTGACGATGGGGGAGATACCCAGTTCCATAAGAGTGCCACGATTGGAGGCGAGAATGACGCGCATCCAGTAGAAGGGATCGGCCGAGTCGGAGGACATGATGCCGAAGAGGGGAATCTGGCAGCAGACGAGGAAGATGAAGAGGGTGATCGCCGTCCAGAGGACCTTCTCGCGGAACTGGATCTTCCGCTCCGGCTTGGCCACCTCGGGGAGGATGCCGCAGAAGGGCTTGATCACTTCGAGGAACTTGATGCCCATGGTGATCGGTGGTGGTGGTGGTTCGGGAAGATCTGGTCACTGGTGGTGGTCTTCCGCCGAAGCACTAGTCGGTTCTGAAGAGAGTGAGTCTCGACTTGTGATGTGATGACGACGACGATGCTGAGGATGGTGATCGTCGGCGGCGGCGGCAGTGATCGTCGTCAGCACTTCTGCTCTTCTATTTCTCTGAGCAAGTGAACGCTGCTGCGGCTGCTGTTTCTCCACGTAAGCAGACACTGACGTTGACTAAAGAGCAGCGGCAGCGGCGAAAAAAATGAGAGCTCTATTTTCACCCGCCGCCGCTGGTGCCGCTCGACCGCTGACCGTGGAAATGGTCGCCGTCAGCAACTGTAAACAAGATTTTTAAACGAAAAAATTTTTGAACCGGTATCCTTTGTTGGCGGTTCTTTTGAAAGTTGAGAAGAAGGTTTTGACTTGATTTCGAACTTTGTAGTGATATTATAATGGCTGGTCAGAGGAGGTACGTGGACATTATTTTTGCTGATGATGGCGGTGGTTGTGGTGGACTTTCGAAAGGCGCTGCTCGCCGTCGTCGTCGTTGTCGTAAGATCTGGTTGATTGAGTTTGAACTTGAATTGATCTCTTTTTGATGTTGCAGATTCTTCTAGCCCCCTCTGGCCTGGTGGACTCGTCACCGGTGAACAGGACTACAGCTGTCAGAGGACATCCTGATAAGCATTTGAACCACCACCACCCGAGCAGAAACTTCAGTGTTGTGTCTGCGGCTGAAAGTGACGCCAGCCAAAGTGGCCCAGTTCGCCTGAAGAATTCGACGGCAAAGAAGTTGAAGAAGAGTGCTCCAGTTCTGAGCGCTACCTTTCCGCAGACGCTCAGACCAGAGAGACAAACAAACTCGACGACGGTCAATGGTAAGCAGATCAGCTCATCTTTTTTTCTATCTTGGCACTTAAACTCGCAATCTTTTTAACAGAATTCCGCTCTGCAATCCTCACTCTGGTCGTCTTCATCATCTCCGTACTGGTCATCCTCTCCTACAAGCTGATTCTCTTTAATCGAAGCAAGTGAAGAGTGCCACTCTTTGGCAACTCTCTCTCTCTGGCGCCTCATTCTCCTCACCATTAAACTATCCATCACCTAAGCTTTGCATTGTTCTTCGCATCGCGCCCACTGAATCACGCAGGCGCGTGTTTATGCTCGCGATGATGAAATGAAGAAAAAGTAGTTCAACTGCAGCTTAGGCAGCAGCAGCCGCAGCACATGCTGTGTGCAGCAATTTCACCGCTGATTTCACATCTTTCTGAATTCTCTGACTCGATCTTCGAAAAAGTGATCACTACCACCGCCAATGAGTGCTCCTCTATCGCGGCGAATTCTCTCATCACTGATCACCCCTTTCACCACCACTTCCACTTATCAAAGCAGTATTTCAAAGCTCCTCCACTTAACCCCTTCTTCAACCGTAGTTTTAGACAAGATGCAGGCGAACTCTTCATTATCATCATCACCTTCTTCTTCTTCTTCAAAGCAGCAAATTCAGACCTTTGTCGTCTGCGGCCCGTCAGGCAGCGGCAAGACGACGCTGCTCAGCATGCTGACTGACTACTACAAGGACTGCTTCAAGTTCTGCGTTTCACGTAAGAGAATCTTTTGATTTGTTTGATGATTTTTTAACTGTTTTCTAACTCCTTTTACAGACACTACCAGAGCGCCGAGAAAGTCGGAGGAGAATGGCAAGGCGTACCACTTTGTGACCACGGAGGAGTTTCAGCGGATGATCTCAGCGAACGCCTTTGTGGAGTGGGCACAGTTTTCCGGCAACTACTACGGCACCAGCTACCAAGAGCTGGAGGTGGTGAAGGCCTCCAATCGAATTCCCATTCTCGATGTGGACATTCGCGGCGTGATGAATCTGAAGAAGATACACTTCTTTGCCAAGTACATCTTTGTCACGACGCCGTCTTTTGCCATTCTGGTACTAACCTTTTGTCTGTTTTTGGTTTTTTATTTTAACATCTTTTTCCTTCCCCTCAGGAGCGAAACCTGCGAATGCGAGGCACGGAAAGCGAGGAGACCATCCAGCGGCGCCTCAGTCACGCCATCGAGGACGTGAAGACGGCGGAGAAGATCAACTTTGACCTGGTCATTGTGAACGCCGAGCTGAAGGAGGCGGCGGCAGTATTTACCGACTTTGTGAAAGATGTAAGTGGTTTGTGCTTTTTGTTTGAATGATCTAACAATTTCCATGTCTTTTTAGGATGTACAGAGAATCCGTAATGGACAACAATAAAAAGGTTCCTCGAGTTTGCTCAGTTTTCATCACTGTTTTGGTTTAGTCATTGAAATGAAAGCAAACTCTGATTGGCAAATCATCTTTTTGCAGCAGAAATGAGGCAGTCACTTTCCTTAATATTGCCATAAATAATCAATTACTGACAGAGGAGGAGAGAGCAGCGAGGTGAGCATCACCAGCATCATCATCCTCATTATCCTCATCCTCATCATCATCGACACAAATGGAACTCGACGATGCAGCGGCGGAGACAGTTTGCAACTGAGACTGACTGTCTGCTAATCGGAGGACACCATCTCTCTTCATGCTATTTATTAATGAACTTGAAGCTGAAAAGAGATGAGACAAATACGGAGAAAAATGACAAACAGAGACAGACACAGACAGAAAATGCTCCCTCATGAATATTTGAATCCCCTTTTCTGTCTGATCAAGAATGTCACATTTTTAAAAGTGTTCACTACATCTACAGAACAAATGTAGAATCAACCAATGTCGATTGGCTTTTTACGAGTTGGCTTTTATGATTGTCTGAAAAAGACTCAAAGACTAAATCGAACACTCGGGCGTCACTCGTTCTTCTGAAACAATTTAAAGTGGCAGTTTTAAGACGTTTGCACTTTTGCAGTGAAAACTTTTGAAGATCGATGAGACTGATAATTGACAAGTGATGGTAATGGTAATGGTCTAGATGTGCTGCTCAGTAGCAGCAGCAGACAGTAACAAACAGAGTGCGGCAGGTGTCAGGTGTAATCTCGTTTCCATCGCCTCAGACGCAAATGAAATGCCACCCAAAAAAGATGAAAAGAAGAAGTTGTTGAGTGTTTGCAGTGCAAACTTTCTTTTTTGCTTTTTACTTTTTTACTTTCAGTCGGATTTCCCGATCGTTATTCAGGCTTTATTATAATGGTTTGCCGTTGACTCGTTCCTTTGCCGATTTGGCTTTAGTTTAGCCATTTCTCTCGGTGGCCATTTAACTCGGTTTGGCAGTAGGCAATAAAAAAGGATTTTAGACTGAAGGGAAAGATAATCATTTTTCTTCTTCACTCTTTTGCTTCCGCTCTATTGAACACCTTTTTCTTCCTCTTTTCCGTAGTTGCACTTGCACTTTACATTTTTATTAGTACTCTAGATTTTGTTTATGGTTTTGCTGTTTACTCCAGTATTTATTGGCGATTGTTTTTAATCCAATTTAGTTCGGAGAACTGCTTCAAATTGGCACTGTTTCTGCAATTAGTCAAATTTAATAATTGAGGGGAAAGTGTGACTGTGTGTCTGCTTGATTTTGAGCCTCTTTTCCAGTCTGCCCATTTTCAAGGCTGTCTCTTCTTTCCCATCAAATCATCACCACTATCATCACTACTGCTACTTCTTCTTCATATGGAGGAGACTTATGGAAAACCGAGCTTACTTGTGAAAGTGGCGCATCTTTCTTCATTTGCCATTTCGAGTTTTTGTAACGCGACAACTTGAAGAGTGAGACCCCTTGACGGCGGCGATGATGGATCTGATCAAAATTCAGAAATCACTGACGACAAAACTGGACAGAACAGAAGAAGAAGAAGATGAGCCATATTTGGAAGAAGAGAACAAGTCTCGAGGCCATAATCGTCTCAAGCATCCTCTCTTATCGCCGATCTGACTGAAGAAGATGCTGCCGATGTTGTCTTTCTTTCTTCAGAGATTTAACCTCAAAATGAGTTTACAGTGTAGTGGTACAGTTTGCCTCTCCTCCTTCTTCTCCTCTTCTATCGTACTAAACAGTTCAGACAGATCTTCTCCACCCGATTTGCATCTCTTGGAACGACTCTGCTGCTGCTGCTGCTGCTGCTCTTCACCTCTTAGCAGCTAATTCTCTTTGCAATGTGTGCGTTTGTACGACTACGGCCGATTTGCGTTTCGTTTCGCTTTCACTTTTACCTTTCCCCATTGGTTTCGTTTGAGCCCAGTAGCTTCAACATTTTTGCTCTCTCTCTCACTCTCTCACTCATTTTCGAAGTATATAAGTATACCTTCTGGACGTGCAGGCGAACACACGCTTTCCCGAAGTCGACATCTTCTTTGTTTCGTGCTCAGACACAACCAACAACAAAAAACAACAGAAAAATGTTCAAGGTGAGGAGGAGTTTTTGATGAAGAATTTTTTTGAAAAGTATCATCAATTTTCCTGTTCCCTGCTAGGTCCTCCTCCTCGCTACCGTCTGCGTGTACCTGGTCGCCGCGGCGCCGGCCGCCGATGAGAAGCCAGAGCCGTACGCCTTCAACGTAAGAGATTTGAGATTTTCTAAAATTGCAAACCTAAAACTTTTTTTGAATCTATAGTTTGAGTCCACCGACGAGGCCGGCACCAAGATTGCCCGCCAGGAGAGCGGCGACGCCAGCGGAAAGATTACTGGTAAGGATAGCATTTTTTTGAGATTTATTAAAAGCTATAAAACTAAAAAAACTTTTTTGTACAACAGGCCAGTACAGCTACACTGACGCCAACGGTCTGACGCGCACCGTCAACTACATCGCCGACGATGATGGCTTCCGCGCCGAGGGTAATAAACAACACGATTTCAACTTTTATCATCATTTTTATAACATTTGTTTCTTTTCTTTATCAAACCAAAAACCTTTACAGTCCAGAGCAATGAGCCCGGTCTCATCTCCAGCGCCCCAGCCGCCGCCACCTACAACGTCCAATAACGATCGAGCAAATGAGAAAATAAAATTAAGAAGAGGT